TTTTCATCCTAAAACATGGATAAAGTTCTCTTTTCAGCATAAATACACAAATTTAATAATGAGAGAATTATTTAATATAGGACTAAAACATTGATAAAGTTCATAAATAGAATCATCAATGTTTTATTCCCAAAATAGGACTCATGCACTCTTGTTTTGGAAAGTTTTAATCATCAAGTTTTTCTTTAATTTTAATAAGTTAAATAAGTCTTATTTGAAATATGAAACATACTTAGTCATAATTTTGAACTTTGTATATGTTTTATTCCTATATAGAGCAATTTCTATTTAATAATTTAATATTAATTCAAATAATTTATAATAATTAATCGAAAAAAAAGAATTATGCAAAGGGTAAAAACTAAAACATAGAAAAAAATAAAATTAAAAATGAATTAAGCAAAACTTTTTTATGTTTTAATCTTATATTGAGTAATTTCTCTTTAATAGTTTAAGCTAAAAATAATTTTTAATAATTAATCTCGAAAAAATGAATTGTGCAAACGGTAAAGCGGTAAACAATAGATGTATATGTAGGAAGGATAGGAGTGGCGACTTGGGCTGGGAGAATTCCGTTTGGAGACCATGTTTTCTTTTGAATTATTTTCAGACTCAGTCCTGACGAGACTAGACCAGACTTTCATATTTATAAAATGCACAGAGATCAAACGTTTACTAGATCAGACCAGACCAGACCAGATCACACCAGACTAGACAATACCAGCAAATTTCAGTCCAAAGAAAACATCCTTCCCTTGGGAACGACTTGCGGTAGTTAATTAATGACAATTAATTCACCAATTCTATTGTACCATGTCGTTTTAACTAATGACAATTAATTCTTTTCTTCTCAATTCTATTGTTATTGCACTTATGAATTGTGAGTAGGGCTGCACAAGAATAACCCGAACCCACATAACCCGCCGGACCCAACCCTATCCGACCATATTTAATCTGGTATTTGATTTTAAAATATATTCATGGGTTAAATATGTTTGCACCCGCACCTAATGGGTAGGGTTGCGGAATTAAAATCTCAAACCTGATAGAACCCGACCCGGCCGAAGTACATTTTAGTATTATTATGCTACATTGTTTTTTTTGGATAATTTTAATTTTAAGGCCAATGTGCTCTATCTAGGACTATAATATTTGAATTATAATATTATATATTTACGTTTCCTTCTAAATGAACTTCCCTTACGGATATATGTTTTAATACTATTATCTAATGTTTTTGCTTATAAAAGATACAAGTACTTGTATTTGTTTGTGTGTTTTGGAAACAAGTTAATCGAGTTTTAAATTGGTTATATTAATTTTCCACTTGAAAGATGCAACCCGAATGATTTTTTTCAATACCGGACTCTACCCGACCCATTCATGCATGGCTTACCAACTTATTTTGTGTACCGCGGGTTGGTTAATAGCCAACCCGAACAAATTGGGTAGGCCCAAAAAATATAGCAAACCCGACCCAACCCGCCCGATGTGCAGCCCCAATTGTGAGTAGTTTTAATTAGAATTTGGGATTGCTGAAGGGGTTATTCATGATCTAGAGTTAATTTTTTGATGAACTAATTGCATGATCTTTAATTAATTTGTGTTTGAAGGATTTAATTGATATTTCTTGTAATCTAGAACTGCAGCTAGCATTATAATTGCACATATAATAATTTAAGAGAGATCTAATTTATTATAGAACTTTTATTTTATTTATTTAGTTTTATTCGCTGATTTATTTAATTCGATTCATTTTTTTAGCCCTTTGGAAACGACATTCGTACGTTAGCCACTTAGCCCGATACCGCTTCATATTTGTTAAAAACTGCTCTATATAAAACAATTTCATGTGAATAATGGTAGGGACTACTCGACTAGGGAGACGTTAAATGCAGGCAGTTTAGGGATAAGTTATTTAGTGGCGCACGTATTTCCATTTTACTGGTTATGGCAACATTTTAAGCTTTTGATCACGTCTATTTCGAAAGGAAACAAACTTGTCATCACGTGATAATATGTAGTTATGTATGCATAGATTGTCATTTGTTCATATTGAATTCTAGTGTTGTCTAGCTTGGCTTAAACTTTTCATAAAAAATGACAAGATTATTTTGATAAGAAAAAAGTAAGCTCATTCAAATATATTTTTAGAAGTAATTTTGATGATTTGGCTTAATGTTTGATGATAACTATGATGATAAGCATTATATTAGTGATGTTCACACTCATCGGTTTTGTATTTATCAGCTTGATCACATGCATGCGTTCAAATTAACTTTTCACTATTAATTTATGCACATATTCCAATATAATTATTCACATTTCAACACGTGAGCAGGTTACCAATTTGTCATTACTACTTCTCCATATTAAATTCAAATCTCTGCTCCAACGCTTTTTATAGACATATCTGCATATCTGCAATAATATCACCAGTATATCACCACTGCAGTCGCTTTTTTATATATGGAGTACATGAGAAATAAAAAGAGATTGCGGGCCTTAAATAAGAATATTTTTCAAATTTGGCAGTAATTACTCATATTAGAAAATAAAAACATAATAGTTATATTTTAAAATTTTGAAACATTTTTAGTTCTATTTCAGGAATTTTCCCGGAAATAAACCACTGCAATCACTGTGATAAAATACAATAGAAATTTAATAAACGTATACGGTATACTCCATATTATATTGGATCTCATTATATATATATTGATAAAAAAAATTAAAGAGTATATACTTTCACACTTTCGAGAAAGCATACTTTTCTTAAGACATATGCGTGGACACGGAACTACATACCATGAAAAGTTACTAAACCTGTGGGCGTAGCTCAACTGGTAGCGAGAGAGTGCCACAAGGGTTAGGTCTCGAGTTTGAATCCCGGCAACTGCGATGAGGGGTTACTATGCTGAAAAATGCATACTTGCATAGGGCCCCACTCTTTATCTGCCAGATTGTGATTATAGTCCAATTTACATCCTCCCATCGTGCCGTCCGGTCGGTGTTGGGGGGCCCTCAGGGATGGGGTGTCATCCTTTTTTTTTAATGAAAAGTTACTAAGTTAGAATAAATTCAATGCATTAATTTATGAACAAACCACTTTAATATATATGTCAACATCCGATGCTATGGTGCACCGATAACCTTGCTGTTTCCGCGTATCCGATTCATATCTGATACTAATACTCACTTGTACGCGTCCTACACGTATTGAATCCGTATCCATAATTTAATAAAAGTATTGGGCTTATTTTTAAATATACACATACTTCCGATAATCCGTGAACCGATAAGCGTATCTAACCCTATAATCCTCATTTCATACACGACATGACGAAAATTTAGTAGCCGCCCAAGCGACCACAAAATGTGGAACATTGATAAAAATATTTCGGTAGTATGCAAAATATTGGAATACTATAATTAGCCATTTTTTCGCTTGATAAGTTTTAATTGAAAGCAGTCTTGTTAAAAGACTTAGATGTCAATGCAAATATAGAACAAAAAATATTATTTAAATTTAAATCGAAATATCAGTACTTTAGTTTTTTAGTCTAATCTTTGAAATTTTATTATACAGAGTAATAGTTAAATTTTGGTACTATTATTATTTTATTTATGAACCTCTGGATTATATTTATTTGCAAATTATACTCTATATTATTATTATTATTATTATTATTAATATTATTATTATTATTATTATTATTATTATTATTATTATTATTATTATTATTATTATTATTATTATTATTATTATTATAAATGTACTCCCGTACCCGCATCCTACCATTTTTGAAATTTTCGTATCGCCGTACCCGTATCCGCATATCAGTGTATCCGTTCGTGCAACATAACAACAATGTATGAGAACACCATTCTTATTGGAATTGCACTTTAATATACATAGAAGGGCATACCTATTAGCTATGGAGGAGCCAACCTAGTTCTCGGATCACCCCAAATTTAAAAATTGTTTATATTTTTAGCGTAATAATATTCTCGGATCTCCAAAATATTCTTTATACTTACCCGTGTGTTGGCTCAGTCCCTTTTACTATATACAGAGTACGTAGTAAAAGTGCACAATAGTTGCAATGGAGAGTATAAAAAGAATATCTTTCATTTGTGTCTTGTACACTTGTACCGAAATAGATTTTAAACTAGGGATCCCGTACGCAATTACTACCTCCGTGGCTCTGTCCCTTTTATATTGGGACGGAAAAGGGTGGCACGATTATTAAGAAAAATGGATTTGTGTGGTTGATATTAATTGATAAAGTAAGAATAAATTAAGAATGATTTAGAACCACACAAACTTTATCAAATTTGGTATGAGACAATTTAAAGGGGACATCCACAAAAGGTAAAACGAGACAATCTAAAGGGGACTGAAAGAGTAAATCTTATACGTAGTAGTATCGACGATACCCATCGAGTTAGTGATCGAGCTACTAATGGTGGCCTGTGAGTTCTTATTTTGTGAGTGATGTCGACTCAAAAATGGCAAACAAAAATACAAGCCAATAACGCAACTCTTTTTATCCACAAACCACTCGTTGAGTTTGTGAAAAATTCACGCAAGCCTATTATTTTTCATCAACACGTACGTACATGCACATATTTTTGTTTAAATGCTTTTAATTCGCTAATTGAAACAACATTTTGTATCTGCGTCGTGGAAGATAAATAGATAGATAGAATGGAGTGTTGTTTTATTAAAGCAACATTTTGCTTTTAATTGGCTTATATGTACTAGAACAAATGATATTTTCAATTGAAGTGAAAGATTCCATGATAAAAGAAATTGAAGTGAAAGATTCTGTGGTGATATAGTTTAGTATGATGATCTTTTCAAGTCTCATATGCTGAGTTATTAGAAGATTTTATTGAGTTCTCTATTCTTTAGTAATGGGTAATGAGTTCCCTACTTTATTTGTCCACCACCATATACTACGCATTATGTATTCTAATTTTTGTGGACAATATATTTACACATTCACCCGGTAGAAAAAGGTTAAAAACGATCAAACTTTCGAATATGAAACTCACACGAGAGAAGATTTATATTATTACAATAAAATTGTACATACACGATAAAACTACAATTAAAATACAAAACCATCCTAATTAAGCTACTTCCAATACACTGATTAATAAGGCGTAAATTACTTGAATCGAATGAAATAATGAAACAAATAATAAGCCGCAATGGAAAATGGAGCACCGAGCACGCTGACGGTTAATGCAACATGGGCCTGTTAATATTTCCAAACAAAAAGCAAAAAATCATTAATTATATACGAAGTACGTAGTATAATACTCCGTTGTAACTTTAGTAGTCATGCAAGTAATAGGTAGCTGGAGCAAAAAAAAAAGCTCACAAAAAGGATGAGGCTGCAATCCACATCCAGATATGAACAGAGATTGCTTGCAATGCCACAACAATAAATGCCATGACAACCGCCGCCTGGTAACGTCTGCAGGTATACTCGGGCCAGTTTTCGCAGATGGAGGTGGCCCTGAAAAACTCAACCACCGACGCGGCTGAGGATGCGGCGCCAAGAGATAACATCCATATACACTGCATGCATCGTATATTCGATTTGCATATTAGTAATTATCTACTCCATAATTAAAAATACGTAGTATATGTCTAACTTAAAAGAGTACATAATACAAAGAATTCAAAAGAGAACTTATTAAATAAAGTATAATGAATAGTGTACCCAATCAAAAGCAACGTTCACCATCATATGGATAGGGGAGGGTAGCCTCCCCCCAGACACCAGAACCTTGAGATCAAGGCATATAAGTATAAAGCACCATATGATTTGAACACACTGCTGAACTAGTAGGAAGCTGATGATCAAATAAACACAAAGTCAAAAAATAATATTCCACAACAACTAATAAATTAATAATAGCATGCATTTCATTCAAAAAGCCAGTACAATAGAGAGCATAAGAAGGAGCTCTACCAGAAGGGAGTATTCGTACCAACTCCAGGAACAAAGCTTAAAATACCGAGGGCAATAGCGGCAAAAGTGCCCTGTAGGCTCCTCAGTATAAGGCCGCTGATCTTGCCCGGGCCTCCGAACATTTGCTTCATTTTTCTTTTTGTGATGGTGTAGCTAAATTATAAAGCTCCGGAGTTAAGTATCTCAGTGATGACTTGCCGGAGGCAAGAAGGAGAAGGCGCAACTGGAATAAGCTTGTGTTGAGCGTGTCTGCAGAGAGAGGCTTCTAAACTTCTAAACTATCTGCAGCAGGAGAGGCCTAAGCAAAAAACAAACAAACGAATGAGTTCTTTTTAATACTCCGCATGGATAACTGGATAAGGATAGGAGAACGAGGACGCACGCAGGTCGTCGCACACAGGCTGGGAAGATCTGAAGAAGTGAAGATTGAAGAAGAATCGAGCTGAGAATGAAGAACTCGAAAATAAGTACAGATCGAATATTGGAATTTCGAATGAATGGGATTTATGGATGTAGAGTTATTCATCTTGGGTATATAAAAGCTTAGGATACCTTCTGTAGCCGGTGCGCACCGCTCGGGCTGTGAAAATTTTCAGCCCCAAATTGATAATTTTTCTAGATGATTTTTTTTAAAAGTGCTTCCCGATGGATTTATTTGATAAATCCATCAAAATGTAAATTTCTATTTTTGATCTGTAATTTTTGGATCGAATTATGTGAGGCTCCAACTTTACTTACATGAAAATTTTAGATCATATTTTTTTAATTATTTCAGTTTATATGTTTAAATAAATTGACATAAATTTTTTAATTTCTATTTTATATCTGCAATTTTTGGATAAAAATATGCGAGGCTCCAAGAATCACTTATATGACATTTTTAGATCTTATTTTTAATTATTTCATCAGTTTATCTGTTTTTAAAAAATTGACATAAATTTTTTCTTATAACGTCATTTTAAGATTACAATAAAATAATTTGTTTTTGGTAATTAATGTCATCACAAAGTTATAATATCATAACTTTATAATTTATTTATAACTTTAGTGCCACATAAAGTTATAAGGTCATGTTTTTGACGATTAGTGCCATAACATGGATGACAATTTGCCGTTAATAAGTGCTGATGGCACTATAATTAATTTTTCGTGTTCTTGAAAGCATTGCATTGAGATGGCATAAATAAGCACTAAATAAGGTTGTTTCCCAAAAACAAAGATCTAAATAAATCGCCAGAGGAGGCGGTGGTTAATGGTTGTATGAGGAATGGTACAATGGGATAAGGCGGGAACGGTTATTGTTAGCCGCCGATCCCATTTTTATATACTCCGTATATAATAAGGATACATGATCAAAAGTTAAAAATGTTGCTATAAGCCTATAACCTATGTTGTAAAACTCGAACCGGACCGACTGGTTCAACCTGGAACCCGGTCAACCGGCCTTGTGTCCGGTCGGGTTGAGCATCCAACCGCAAACATGGCCCAAACTGGAATTGCCCAGTGACCCGTTTAAACCCGGGACGGACCCGAACCGTCCTAATCCCGGAAAATGAGAAAACCCGGAGAAAACCTCGCCTGAGGATTCGACTCACGCCACACGCTACAAATAAAGGACTGTTAACCACAGTGCTACATCCGATAGTTGTTAACTTAGGTTATTTTGGTATTCTTATAGCTTATTGGACTGGAATATTTTTATTAAGTATAGATAATTAGCTTATTAATTAATTAATTTATAATAAAAATACTAATAAATACACATAAATGCTGTTATTCAGGGACGGACCGTAGTACAGATCCAAGGGGGCTATCGCCCCTCCAACAAATAAAATTTCTAGTGTATATATACAAGAAATTTTAGTCACGGATTTAGTCACGGACCGTAGTATAAAAATTCCGTGACTAACTCTTTTAGTCACGGATTTTTTCCGTGACTAAATCCGTGACTGTTTGGACGTGACTAAATTTAGTCACGCCAAATTGACCGTGACTAAATGTAGTCACGGATTAGTCACGGACCGGGTCCGTGACTAAAATGTCACCGGAATAACTCCTCCGGCACTTTAGTCACGGCTGAGATCCGTGATTACTTGTTTTTTTAATTTTTTTGTTAGTCACGGACACGTCCGTGACTAAGTTTTTTTTTTATACAAAATTCGGCCATTTTAGTCACGGGAAGTTCCGTGACTACGTTTTTAAATTTTGAAATTTCAAAAACCCGCGGTTCGAATTTTCAAATTTCAGCTTAGTCACGGTCATGCATCCGTGACTAACTTTTTTATTTTTTAAAAAAATAAATTTTAAATTTATAAAAAGAAATCCGGACTGAAAATTTAGTCACGGCTCAGATCCGTGACTAAATTTTTTGTTTTTTAAAAAAAATTAAAACTTATTTTAATTTTTCTTAAAATTAAAATTAAACTAAAACATTTATTTGGAAAAATATTATATTTTAAAAAGTATAGCAATTATACCGTTAAATAAAAAAACAAAAATCATACTCATACACAATAAAAATGCATTGCAAACTGAAGTTATAAAAATAATGTTCAATGTTAATGATAAAATTGTACTATTACATGTCCGGCCTTCGGACTCCATTATGAAAAAAATGAGGATTATCATTATCAAAATCATCATCATCATTATCATCATCATCATCAGCTTCGGCCTCCACGGTGTCTTCGGGTCGGGTTCCTCCTCGGCTACCTCCTCGGTTGCCTCCTCGGTTCGCTCCACGGCTGGATCCTCTGGATGATTGAAATTGATTCAAGAAACCATGCGACAGAGATCCGAATGTCGGATCCATCATAGGCATGCTACTATATCCGGAGTTACAATAATAACCCATGTTGCCCATGTGTGGAACCTGAGGAGTCTGCTCGGGGTCCAATATATACGGCCGAGGCTGAGGCTGACATCCGGCGTTTAAGATCCGCTCCATCGCTTCCAGCCGGGCTCTTGTTTCTTCACCCTTCTTCCGTTGCTCCTCTAATGCCCGCTGCTCCTCCTCCAATTCTTGCTGCATTTGGTCGATGCGTGGATCCTCTCCCCGCCCTGATCGAGAAGATGAAGCTCCGGTGGTGCGGTCATACAAAATCCGTTGCCTCTCAGCCCCCATGCACGGAACCCGACCCTTGTACACTCCAGCTGCCTCAAGGATCACATCAGAATCGATCTCATCCTCCTGGGTCAAGCCTAATTCCGCCGCTTCTTCTCAACATTTGTGTTGTACTTCGTCTACATGTACAAAAATTATTCAAAGGTTATTTACTCTGATTTGAAATGTTACTAAATAAGGAAATTGATGTTACTTACTTCGATTTCGGCGAGGCGGGGTGGCAGATCGGCTTCCGACTCATCGCCGTGCTTTGTCCAACAATGCTTGATGACCTTGAGGATCGAGACCTTCTTCTTCTCAGGCCCGCCTACATGGTTTGAAAAAAGCTAAAAATTCTTAAATAAATGTAGAAAATGAAGGGTTGTAATGATGTAAGGTTTTTTTGAATAGGACTTACAAGAGCTTCTCAATGTTTACTCTGAGGTTTGCGACCCCCGTGCCATTGAGTCTCCAAGGCCTTCTCGGACATCCGGTTTTTCTTACCGGATTCGCTCCTTGCCAAGAAGTTTGGATCAGTGGACCAGTGGCGGACGAGGTTGGCCCACACCTCATCCGAACACCATCTAGGCTGCCGCCCTTGCGCTCGGGCACGCCTAAAAGTGGCCGTGACTAAATGTACGTAGTCACGGATTAGTCACGGACCGGGTCCGTGACTAAAATGTCACCGGAATAACTCCTCCGGCACTTTAGTCACGGCTGAGATCCGTGATTACTTGTTTTTTTAATTTTTTTGTTAGTCACGGACACGTCCGTGACTAAGTTTTTTTTTTTATACAAAATTCGGCCATTTTAGTCACGGGAAGTTCCGTGACTACGTTTTTAAATTTTGAAATTTCAAAAACCCGCGGTTCGAATTTTCAAATTTCAGCTTAGTCACGGTCATGCATCCGTGACTAACTTTTTTATTTTTTTAAAAAATAAATTTTAAATTTATAAAAAGAAATCCGGACTGAAAATTTAGTCACGGCTCAGATCCGTGACTAAATTTTTTGTTTTTTAAAAAAAATTAAAACTTATTTTAATTTTTCTTAAAATTAAAATTAAACTAAAACATTTATTTGGAAAAATATTATATTTTAAAAAGTATAGCAATTATACCGTTAAATAAAAAAACAAAAATCATACTCATACACAATAAAAATGCATTGCAAACTGAAGTTATAAAAACAATGTTCAATGTTAATGATAAAATTGTACTATTACATGTCCGGCCTTCGGACTCCATTATGAAAAAAATGAGGATTATCATTATCAAAATCATCATCATCATTATCATCATCATCATCAGCTTCGGCCTCCACGGTGTCTTCGGGTCATGTTCCTCCTCGGCTACCTCCTCGGTTGCCTCCTCGGTTCGCTCCACGGCTGGATCCTCTGGATGATTGAAATTGATTCAAGAAACCATGCGACAGAGATCCGAATGTCGGATCCATCATAGGCATGCTACTATATCCGGAGTTACAATAATAACCCATGTTGCCCATGTGTGGAACCTGAGGAGTCTGCTCGGGGTCCAATATGTACGGCCGAGGCTGAGGCTGACATCCGGCGTTTAAGATCCGCTCCATCGCTTCCAGCCGGGCTCTTGTTTCTTCACCCTTCTTCCGTTGCTCCTCTAATGCCCGCTGCTGCTCCTCCAATTCTTGCTGCATTTGGTCGATGCGTGGATCCTCTCCCCGCCCTGATCGAGAAGATGAAGCTCCGGTGGTGCGGTCATACAAAATCCGTTGCCTCTCAGCCCCCATGCACGGAACCCGACCCTTGTACACTCCAGCTGCCTCAAGGATCGCATCATCTTTCACATCAGAATCGATCTCATCCTCCTGGGTCAAGCCTAATTCCGCCCGCTTCTTCTCAACATTTGTGTTGTACTTCGTCTACATGTACAAAAATTATTCAAAGGTTATTTACTCTGATTTGAAATGTTACTAAATAAGGAAATTGATGTTACTTACTTCGATTTCGGCGAGGCGGGGTGGCAGATCGGCTTCCGACTCATCGCCGTGCTTTGTCCAACAATGCTTGATGACCTTGAGGATCGAGACCTTCTTCTTCTCAGGCCCGCCTACATGGTTTGAAAAAAGCTAAAAATTCTTAAATAAATGTAGAAAATGAAGGGTTGTAATGATGTAAGGTTTTTTTGAATAGGACTTACAAGAGCTTCTCAATGTTTACTCTGAGGTTTGCGACCCCCGTGCCATTGAGTCTCCAAGGCCTTCTCGGACATCCGGTTTTTCTTACCGGATTCGCTCCTTGCCAAGAAGTTTGGATCAGTGGACCAGTGGCGGACGAGGTTGGCCCACACCTCATCCGAACACCATCTAGACTGCCGCCCTTGCGCTCGGGCACGCCTAAAAGTGGGCCGAAGCCAGTTCGAA